CAGCCTGAAGATTGAAACTCTATCTTTATCTGGGAATAGCTTTACTTCACCTTCACTTTTAGAAAATCGTGTTTTTTAGATACAGTTCTGTTGGTTGATTTTTCTGTTTGAGTACTCTGTGGATGGTCACCACCGCTTCTGATGAGAAGCGGACTAGCAGTTAAAGATATTATTGGTACTGGTTCTCTATGTGCCTTAAGTCATTTTCCTTTTTCTGCCTACATGATTTCTCCCTTCACTTTTGGCCCATTTTCAAAATCTTCTGACGTTATTTCTTCAAATTAAGCAATGTTTCTTCTGCTCCTCTCTTAATTTTTCTCTTATTACATGTATGTGTAGGCAATTAATGTTGTCTCACCGGTCTTTTCATTTTGCATTAATGTTTTTTCTGATCCTCAGGTTTTATGAGGCCCATTGGCATAACTTCAAGTTCACTGATCCTTTTGCCACTTTAAATCTGCTATATAGTTAGTGAATTTTTCATATAATACTGTGCTTTTTAACTCCAGAATTTGTATTAGGTTATTTTTTGTAATTACTGTCTTTTGAGGAATTTATTTACTTATTGAGTCACTCTTGCTCTACTGGCCTTTAATTCTTTATAATGGTTTATTTTAGTTCTTTAGTTGTACATATAAATAGTTTCTATTGGTTGTCTTTTAAAATATTTTAAGAATGGGTAATGCCTTATTTCTTTTCACATCTCAACTTTTTTTGTTGAATATTGGCATGTTTGAAAAATATTGTAATAATTTCAGATTCTTATTCCCCCTAGAAATTATTGCTGTCTTGATAATTTGTTTTCTTAGTAATATTAAAATCTATACTGTCTTTTTATCACACACTGGCTAACCGATACCTATTCTCAATTATAATTTTCATTTGTCTTTTTATGCTTGGCTTCATTAGGGCTTATGACTGTGCCTCCATAACTCAGCATTCAGCCAAATTTTGATCAGAGGTTTTCTTCAACCATCCCTAGCCAATAAAGAATCTACTCACTAATGATGGATATCTGATTAGAAAGAAGATCATCTTCAAAATCAAGGACTTTTATAAGTCTATGCCAGATTTTCTTTCCCACAAGTCCTCTAAAATCTTCTTCTGCAATTATTCTTAGGCTCCAGTGGCCAGGGATGTGTTGCTGATATTGGTAGGTACCACAGGATTGGTACAGATTCATGGCGACCCCTGATATAACAGAAATAAAACAGCTCAAGAATGATGATGGTAACAAATGTACCTATGTGGCTTGACACAATGGATGTATGTGTGGATTGTGATAAGAACTGTACGAGCCCCCAATAAAATGATTTAAAAAAACAACCCTGTGTCATCCTCACAAATGTTCTTATGGTTGAGCCCCTTGTTGCACCCACTGTACCAATCCAAGGTACAAAGGTCTTCTTAAGGGGCCTCCTCTTTTTGATTGCCCCTCTACTAACAATCATGGTGTCTACTTCCTGGGACTGGTTTCTCATTATAGCGTGTCCAAAGTACATTAGAGCGTCTGACCAACCTCGCTTCTCAACAGCAGTCTGGCTATATTTCTTCCAAGACAAGTCTGCTTGTTCTTTTGGTAATCTTTCAATAGTCTTTGCCAGCACCATAATTTAAACATATTAATTCTTCTCTGGTCTTCCTCATTCAGCGTCTAACGTTCGCATACATATGAGGGAACTGAAAATACTATGACTTGGATCTTGTATAACAGAATAAAACGGTGCTCAGTCCTGTGCAATCCTCACAACTATGCTGTTTGAGCGCATTATTAAAGTCCCTGTGTCCATCTGTCTCATCGAGGTCCTTCCTCTTTTTCCTGAGCTGTTGGTACTCGACCATTTTTCCACAGACCTTGGATCCACACAACTCCGCTGATGTCCCTGCTTCCCGCTTCACCTTTCTGTGTCAGAGTGCCAGCTAGCATGGGACTCGGGGACTTTAGTTGGATTGGGCTGGAATGCCTTCTTCATATGAAACTATGTCTTGATATAAAGTTCCTTCTTGTACACAGATGGTCACTGGTTTGTTTCTCTACTCAAGATCAATATTTTGGCTCTTGTGAACTTGTTTTAATTTTATTCAACTTCAACCTGAACTTATACATGAGCAATTGATGGTCTCTTCCTATTTGCCCCGGCCTCATATTAGCTGTTGATATTCAGCGTCTCTATAATCTCTTCCCACAGATGTAGTCCATTTGATTTTTGTGTATTTCATCCACAGAAGTCCATGTATATAATCACCTGCGTTGTTGAAAAAGGTATTTACTATAAACAAATTGTTGTCTTACAAAGTTCTATCATCCCATCTCCAGCTTCATTTCTATCACAGCCAAGATTGTATTTTCCAACTACTGTTACAACTTTTACATTCCAATGACCAATAATTATCAATGCATCTTGATTTCATGTTTTGTCAATTCCAGAGTGAAGATAGTGGTTGAATTCTTCAGTTTCTGCATCACTAGCTTTAGTGTTTGGTGAATAAATTTGAATAATAGTTGAACTCACTTGGTTTCCTTATACTCAGATAGACAATTGTCAATTCGCATACAACATTGTACTTCAAGAAAAATCTCTTGAAATGTTGCTTTTGACAATGAATATAACCTCCCATTCCTCTGGATCATGCCATTCCCAACACAGTAAACCATCAATAATTTCATGACTCAAAATGGCCTATTATCAGTCTATTCCAGCTCACTAATACCTAGACTATCCATCTTTACATATTACATTTCATTTCAGATGGCTTCTAATTTTCCTAAATTCATACTGTATACATTCCAAGTTCTGATTATTAACTGATGGTTTCAGCGGTTTCTTCTCATTTTGAGTCATGCCCATCAGCAAATGAAGGCCTCGAAGGCGTTTTGCTGCAGGCCTTACTCCATCTGTGTCGTTTTGACAAACAAGCTCTTCCCTCAGTCATACTTTGAGCATCTTCTGACTTTCGCTCATCTTCTGGCACTATCTCTATTTCTGCTTCTGTTCATTAGGTTTTCAGTAACTGACAATATGCCCATGCTATCCATAGAGTGGCTAATTCTTTTGAAGTGGACAGGCTAGTCCTTCTTTATAGCTGGTGAAATCTGTTTAATTCAGGTGACTGTACTGTTATTTGAAATACCCGCAACACAGCTTCCAGCATTGCAGCAAACCACTATATTACCACACACTGGCAGACAAGTGGTGGATGAGTATTTAGGTCCACTTTATCTTCTGCTGTGCAGGTGTACAACCTCCACTCAACACATGACATGTATTAAACTTAGTAAGTCCATAGTTGTGTTTCCTCCTAGAACTTTCTGTTAAATCCCAACTGATCTACCAATCTATTGCTTGCTACAAATAGGACCACAACTTCAGACTAAAAAAGTTATTGACTCTTCTGTTCACCTGGTACCAAGATTGCCACTTTAACCTACAATTCTCCATATCAAATGAGCTCTCTCCTTAACAAGGGCAGCAAAGCTGCTGGATTTCAAGACTGTCCCACTTTCCTGGATGAACTGCAATGACAAGAAAGTTAGATACAATGCAAGGGGGAAGAGCTGTAGTCCAGATCAGAGCACCACAATGTATGTTATGCTTAAGTTCAGTAGTTTTTCTGAATAAAATTTCTCAATGTAATTTGTTTGGTTGATTTTAATTTCTAGCACACTGAAATGGTTGATTTGACAGTTTTATCTGCAATGTATGGTTGCGTTATGGTGGGGAGCAATAGAACCTTCTCACTCAGTTTTGTCAGTCATTCTTCATTAAATAATTCTTATTATACGCTTCAGTCCAAAGTTCAACTCTACTAAATATTGGAACTTTTGAGATTCTACCTACCTCAGAGATAAAACTGCAAGTGCACTCTTTCAGTATTCATATTATATACAGTTATGTTAGCTATTTTTGACTAGACAGACAGACTCAGTTTCCTTTCTATTTTGCTGTTTCCAGGGAGGAAATGACTATACATGTGCACTGTGTGCAGGGTTAAAATAAGGCATGGAGGATTTCTCTTCATCATTAACAAAAAGCTGCTAAATATGCAAAATAATGCTAATAAATGTTATCTGTTTAGTTCAGGCACCATAGCATATGAGAAGTAATAATCTATAGCATTTGAAAATGATACTAAAATATCACAAAAGGATGGCAGAAGAAAAACATTTAAGAGAAATGTCAACATTTACCCTGGAGAAAAAACTACTTATTGATATGCCTTCAAATATTTAGAGCAAACTTACTCAACATTGATCCATTAAACTATGGAGTATAATATAGAGTTTAATATTTAACAACTAATTTGACAATTTAAGTTCAAGCAATTTAAATGGTTCTCTTGCAAAATGCTGAGTTCCCTATAACACTTAGAATTGTTATAGAAAAGATCAACTAGGTGACCTTTCATAAAACTAAACAGAGAAGAATTAGAAGAGTAAAAGATAAAAATGGCAGAAAATACAATCCAAAATAGTATCATACTGTAGTTTATCCAAAATTAACAGTGAAATGGGTCATAACACTATTCCTAAAAGACACCTATTTCAATGTTACTACTGGGTCCAAAGGGCAACAATATGCTGCTGAATATCATAAATAAGGTATAAAAACAGAAAACACATCCCAATCACTACATAAACTAAACACTAGAAAGCTGAAGTGGACCATAAGCTTTTAGCTGAAAAAAGATATGAGGTCATACACAAAAATAAAGTTCATTATGGACAGACTTAAAAGGTGAGGGTGCAGAACACGAAGGGCAAAAACTCAAGACTTCTTCACTAACTTCGAAGAGATAAGATTAAACTAAGACTTGTTCACTAACTTCGAAGAGATAAGATTAAACTAAGACTTGTTCACTAACTTCGAAGAGGTAAGATTAAACTTAACTTCTGAAAGAGCTAAGGTGAGGAGAAATAAAAGTAGTACTATCATATTTTCTCTCATTTATAAATTTTCTAGAACCAAAACAGTTCTAGACTGAAAATCAAAATAACTTACCTCTTTCAGTTGATCAGCACTTCCCCATGATGCAGAGCGCTGATGTGACCTCTTTTCTGCTCCCTCTTCTGCCCAACAGCTAGGTGTCTTAAAAGTACATAAAAATAAGAAGAAATTTTCTCTATATTCATTGATCTCATAGCAACTAAAATATATCTCAAAATCTAAGCACAGCCACTTCAGGAATTATAGTAACACCTTCAGAATACTAAGCGTTTTAGAAGCAAGTGAAATATTTTGAGAAATACTGTCATCTTCTGAATTAGTAATGTCCAGTCTGTCTACAAATCACTTTTCTCAAAACATTTGATATCTTTAAATCAACAATATTACTTACTGCATTGAGAGAATGGCATGTTGCTTTTTGTTTTTAAAGAGAATAGTCACATTAAATGTAAAATGATTATTTCTATTGAACAAGATAGACAGCAGGTATCATTAATAGAACTAGCTCAGAAGCAGTAAGATTTATAGAAAGCCCTACATGTTAAATACATAAAGAAGCTGATTGTAGAATTTTTCCTGTATTTGGCGAACAATGTATTAACATTATTTCCTTGAAAAAATATAAGACATTTATATGAAAAATGTAAACCCACTTAAAAATATGAATTTTTATAAAAGGGATCAAAACCAATAAATAAGAGCTAAGTAAACAGACTCATAATTATAGTAATCAATGTTTAACAGAAAATCTAGCTAAGAATTTTTTTAATTTACAATTTCATTTTAGGTTATTTAGCCATTAATAGACACTATACACAAACAAACATAAAACAGCAAATCCCAAATAAAGTCACAGGTGGTATGATGATTTAGAAATTAAGTAAAATAAAAATACTGTATCTTCTTAATTTTGAGAAAAATCTTAGTACAAAGCAAATTAGAAAAACACACACTAAAGATAAGTGAAAAGAAATTATTACTAATATATATGCAGCTTAATTTTTTATACAATCAAAAAGGGCTATCTTTCATACCGAAACTGCACTTGTGAATCTGTATAATATTATATGAACTTTTATCAAGAGGCTACTAGCTCTACTATATAAAATATGGTATGCACATTTTTAAACTGTTGCCACAGCTTACCAGTAATGATACTTCAAGAAAACAATAAAAACAGAAAGCTAGTTTAATCAAGATAGAAACAAACCTAACTAAACAGTTGATTACTAATGTGAAGCTGTATAGTCATAATTGATAGCAAAAAACATTTTATTAAACTGGAAAGTGCAAAGATTAAGAGGTTACCAATGTACTACATAAACTGCTTTTAAGTAATTAAAATTTCCTAAGCTTAGTCCCAGATAACACAAACTAGTCTGCAAAGAATTTAGGCCCTACATGTTGGGCTGCTCATCTGCAAATTCAGCAGTTCAAAACCCCCAGCCTCTCTGAAAGTGTTAAACACTCTTGGAAAGCCACAAAGGCAGTTCTACTATGCTGCACAGGGTTACCATGAGTTGGAGCTCACTCAATGGCAGGGGTGAGAGTGTGTGAACTACACAGAATCGCGGAAACAAAAAGAAATAGTCAACATTTAACTATTTCCACAGGTAGCATATGATCAAGAACCAATGACACTGAAGGAAGAAGTACCAGTTGCACTGAAAGAATTAGCTAAAAAACACAGCCCAGGAATTCATGGACTACAAACTGAAGTTTCAAGAAGCTTGTCTAGCATTGGAAGCACTCACTCGCCAATGCCAAGAAATTTGGAAGACAACTACCCAGTCAACTGACTGGAAGAGCTCTACATTTGTACACGTTCCAAAGATATATGACCCAATAGATTGTGTCAATTATAGAATAATCTTATTGATACCACATGCAAGTAATATTTTGCTGAAGATCATTCAGCTACAGTTGTAGCAGTATGTTGACAGAGAGCTACCCGAAATTCTGGCTGGATTCAAAAGAGGACACAGAACAAGGGCTATCCTGATGCCAGATGGTCCTTTGTTGAAAGCAGAGAACACTAGAAAGCTGCTTACTTGTGTTTTATTGACTATGCAAAGGCATTCTACTATGCAGATCATAACAAGCTATGGATAACTGTAAGAAAAATTAGAATTACAGAACACTTCCTTGTGCTCATGCAGAACCTGTACATGGATCAAGAGGCAGTTTGAGCAAACAGAACCAAGCAATAGGGGGTGGTTTAAAATTTTAAAAGGTGTGTGACAACAGAAAAGTGGGTGAAGGGAGATGTGGGACAGGGCAAGTTATGGAAAAATAATAATTTATAAATTATCAAGGGCTCATGAGGGAGGGGGGGCGGGGAAGGAGGGGGAAAATGAGGACCTAATGCCGGGGGCTTAAGTGGAGAGGAGATGTTTTGAGAATGATGAGGGCAATGAATGTACAAATGTGATTTACACAATTGATGTATGTATGGATTGTGATAAGAGTTGTATGAGCCCCTAATAAAGTGATTAAAAAACAAGAGGTGTGTGTCAGGGTTGTATCCTCTCACCATATTTACTCAATCTGTATGCAGGGCAAATAAAGGAGCTGGGTTATAAGAAGAATGTGGCATCAGGATTGGAGGAAGGCTTATTAACAACCTGTGAAATGAGAACTTGCAGCGCTTGCTGACAAAAATCAAGGACTGCAGCCTTCAATTTGGGTTAAAATTTAATTTAAGAAAATGCAAATCCTCAGAACTGGACCAAGAGATAATGTCATGATAAATGAGGAAAAGATTGAAATTGTCAAGGATTTCATCTTGGATCCACAGTTAATGTTCAAGGAAGTAGCAGTGAGATGGAATGATGGACTGCATTGGGTAAATTTGCTGTACAATACCTCTGAGGAATATGATGCAAAGCAAGGTTGTCACTTTGAGGGCTAAGATGTGCCTGGACCAAGTCATAGTATTTTCAATTGCATCATACGCATATGAAAGCTGGCAAGGAATCAATTATTGAAAGTACCATGGACTATCAGAAGAACAAACAAAATTGTCTTGGAAGAAGAACAGCTAGAATGCTTTGGGCATGTTATCAGAAGAGACCAGTCCCTGGAAAAGGATACCATACATACATAATAGAAGGACAAAAAAAGAGGAAGATCTTTGATGAGATGAACTGACACAGTGGCTGAAACAATGGGTTCAAACAACAATTGCTAGTATGGGCAGGACCGGGCAATGTTTCATTCTGTTGTATTTAACGTCACTACTGAGTTGGGACCAACGCAGTGGCACCTAGCACTTAAAAACACAAACAACTACATTGTGGGTTGGAAGTGACTCAATGGAAATGGGTTTTGGGGGTATTTCACAGAATACATGAGTGGTAAATACTCAACTACTAACTAGGTCCCTGGGTAGTGCAGATGGTTTGCACTCAGCTACTAATTAAAGGTTGGTATCTGAATCCCCTCAGAGGTGCCCTATTAAGAAAGATCTTTTTTATTCAAGTTTTTATGTTAAAAATGCATTCAATGTCATATTTTATCTTTCCACTAAAGGAAATTATTACTAATTACTACATTTATGAAAAATCATGTGACTTGTGAGTTGGCCATAAATCAAAATAGACTTGCTGGGAATTTGTAGTTTGCACCACTGCCATTTCTCTTTTTCAATGGCTCCCAATGGAAACTTGCTTTGTGAAAAAAAAAAATCATGTGATTAAGGATCATGATCTCTACATCTCAAAAATATGTCCACAGAAACTGCTCAATAATTGTTTAACAGTAACCCTATTTATAAAGGTAATAATTTTCATTTTGTATATTTAACTTTTTCAAATATTTATGTATACTAAAACTAAAATCTATTTTTGTGTGGCTCATCCATGGCCTATAGAGTATAATTTATTATTATGGAAATACGATTATTGACTATTAATTATTTTATAGGACTTATAAGTTATTCTTAGCATTAAAGTAGTAGTAGCCCTGGCAAGCAATGAGATGGAATTTGTCGAAAATCAAATACTTTTAAGAATTAATGATAGTTATGGATTATATTAAATTACAAAAATGTTTTTAAGAAACATTTTTAAGATCAAAGTGTTCTTTATAAGTACATACTACATATATCTTGTTTTCTTTTGAGTAATAACACTTTAAAAACTTTTTCAATATAAAAGAGCATTTTTAAACCTCAAGATCATTTTGAAAGGCTTATCTTCATGCAGCACTACAAAGGAGCATGGAAAGGTTACGTTTCTTGTCAAATTATCATCTTGCCTTTCTGGGAACCATCTGCTTCAATTATAAGCAAAGAATGTTAGAAAAGGCAAAGAACAGCTAAAAATAAGGCAGAAGTTGTTAGGACTTCATTTATATATCATGGAAAGTTTTTTTTTTTTTAAAAAGATTTCGAATTCAGTGGTAACAGTTATAAGCACAAAGTTCTTATTAGGCCCCAATCATACGTGTTGTTCTACTATCATTAGGGTAGGTCAATCTCAAGATACGTTTTTCAGATAAACAGCATCACTTTGGAGTTTGTGAGAAATATAAGTTCTCGGGCTCAACCACGATTTTCTAAATTCCATTATTGTAAGTAAAGCCTAGCAATATATATTTTAACAAGATAATTCTGATGCAAACTAATGTTTGAAAACCACAATTAGAAGATGAGAAAAAATGATTAAGATAAAATTCTGGACAGGAGGTATAATCCTAATTGTTATTTATTCATTTATCTTATGGGCTAATGTCCATTAACAAGTCTAATATAAAGTTAATTGTATATAACTACATGTTTAACAATTAATATATTATTCAATTTCAAAATTTCTATCTAAAGTTATCAGAAATTCAACAATTTGCTTAGTACCTAATTTTAATAAAGTAACATGTTAATTTGGTTTAAATACATATAAAATGCATTTAGTGAAGGGTCTTCTTATTTTCAAACCTCTCTAAAAAGCTTAGATACTGAGTTTTTCCTCCTCTTACCAGAAACATTCAGTTAGTATAAAAGTTAACCATTTTCAGTCATTTCTTCTGAGACCATTGCCATGATCTAGTTCCAGATGGAATTATGTAATAGGTATTATCTATTTGGAACAATCTTCTTATCCTAGCACTCTGACCTTTGTTACCTGGTGCATTGATTCTCAGCC